TATTGTTTCCTTTACAGAACACAGCAAGGCATCTTGTCATTGCAAGAAGTGAACAGACGTCATGGCGAAATGTTTGGAATCACTTTGTATGAATATCTGTATATCTTTTTTCAGCGTCACTATGCTCGTAAGTAGGCTTGTAACACCAAAGTCATTAACAATTTCGTTTGTACCATAGAGTAAAATACTGTGTTCAGACAGTGGTGACTTTATTGACTAAGGTGGAATTGGCAGGTCTTACTTTTTCTACACATAATGGACACAAAGTAGTGTTTTAGTGTTTAAATTATTATATAGATTATAATAGCCTCAAAACTAAAGCACATTTTGATTATTCGTGTAGGGGTGAGCAAAATTAGACCAACTAGTGTATAATCTCCAGTGGGGTAATGGGTCACAGGTTCAAATTTTCATATCTTGGACAAATTTAATGCCCAAACTGGCCTAACGATATAGATTGCTTGTACAAAATGTAAAGATTTAAAGATTTCCTTATTATCTTTTTTACAAAAAATAACAAATTTTATGTTCAGTACATTCCAGACTGTCTTAGAACCCTTTAAGGGTTTTGGGTGGGATGGGTGAGTGGGTATGCACACATTGTATCCCATGGATACGGACTTGATTATTACTCAGGCCATTTCTTCTTTTTTTTTCTCTCCGTTCATCATGATAGCTGGTGGGAGTTGCAGCAGCTGTGTTTGCCATCGTTATCCTTGCTACTGACATTAATCCAGACTACAGGGATATTACTGTAAACCCTACGTTTACCCAAATCACATATGGATTGTTCTTCATTTGGCTGGTGTTCTCTTTAGTTACAATTGTCGGCTGTTTTACACATATCAAAAAGAATAGGCCATGCATGTACATTGTGAGTATATAATAATAATAATAATAATAATAATAATAATAATAATAATAATTAATAATAATAATAATAATAATTTTAATAGGCTACTGTTAACATCATCAAAACTGTCATGTTTTTCAAAGCATATTACAAAAAAATGTCATTAGGATACATAACACACACACACACACACACATATATATATATATGTATGTATATATATATATATATATATATATATATTATATATATATATATATATATATTTCAAAATATGTACAAACCTTATATGAACATAGGTGTACTCTACAAGTAATGAATATATGAACATAAAAAAATATAATTATAAGATTTATAGAGCTCACATATTCATTGCAGTAGTGCTCAAGGCGCTACAGAAGGACGGAACTAAAAATTACCATGAACCTTTTAACAATTAGAAGAAGAAACACCACACACATCACCACGCCGTTTACAGGAAATTTGAGACACAGAGCCTGTCTATTCATAATTCACATGTGCAAGTAATGGGGTATCTAACTAAATAATTTAACTTAGCAAGCAAAACAAAAAATAAAACTAAGAAACTGCAAAAGCAGCAGACAACAGATGTGTCTGGAGAGCCCTTTTAATCAAAGCAGTGGACTGGTACTTACGAATATTAAACGGTAATATATATTTTTTTTAAATTTGTGGTTCCTCAACCTCAGATCTATCACCCCATACATGTGTAAACCTGGGCTGAACAAGTAGGAATTTCGCACCAGAGTAGAGGCAGGCCCGTAGCCAGGGGGGATGTTATGGTTCTGGCGAACCCCATTTTCTAGCGAACCCCCTCGAAATTTTGAATGAGTCCCACCCGTTTTTAAATTGTAGCCTGCATTACAAGCCTACATTCATAGAATATCTCAGCTTCAGAAGTTCGGAGATTTAAATTAAAACGCAATTCCAGCAAACCATGACTTTAC